TATATATATATATATATATATATATATATATATATATATATATATATATATATATAGAGAGAGAGAGAGAGGAGGTATTTCTGCTGCACCCTGTATATATATGTTTTTATGTAACAGTATTCTCTCGAGAAATGAAATCTGGCAAATTGTTTTTCCTGTATATTTAGAAAAAAATTTATAGACAGTATTTTGGTTTATAGCAGAAAAAAAGTCAATTAAAAAAAAAATTTCATAATTCTTATATTCCTTACTTTTTTTTTTTTTTTTTTTTTTTTGATTGGTGCAGTATTCATTTATTTATTGATGGTATTTTTTTATTTTTGTTTGTCACTGTGCAGGATTATTGGGTTGTGCATATCTCCTCTAATTAAAATAGAAAAAGAAAATGTTAATTATTCATATAACTTGATTCTTTGATTGATATTTACTTTAATTCCTAACCCCTGACAATACTTTCATTTCTGATTATCATTGCACAAGATGAGATGCCAAAGCTTGTTCAAACAAATTTCATATTGCAAAATTTTGTTTCATCCTATAATCTTTCTCTCTACTGCCAAAAATATTTTGCCCTTACAGAAAGTAGTTGTAACAAGAATATTTTTTTTTTTTTTTTTTTTTTTTGTAATCATTTCACCCCAAGCAAGGCAGTAATGCCTCTAGTACACAGGAGGTTACAGGGAATAAAAGTGAGAGAAAAGAATAAATATAAGAAGGATTGAGGAAAAAACAAATGATGAACAGGATTGAAGAATATAGAAGATGGTGATTGATGTTATATTTAAATTTTTGAAGATTGTAGTTATCAGGGAAACAAATAAAAAGAAAGGGGGTTCCATGAGTAGGAAGTGTGAGAAAAGAAAGTTGGAGTAGAAGTGGCAGTTGCATTTAGCTATTTCAACAGTGAAGGGGTGGGATCTAGTGCTAATCTAGTAGTATGCTTAAATTCATGTAGTGGGGCACCAGGTGAAAATAGCTTGTCAGAGCAGTTGCCATGAAAATATTTGTAGAAAAGACAGAGGGAAGCTATATCATGTCGGTGAGAAAGTGACTGAAGTTGAGATGCCAAGTCAGGATCGATTACATTACAGATCTTTCTTAGGATTTTGTCAAGAACCTCAAGATGAATGGCAGGGGCACCAGACCAGATATGGCAGTAGTATTCAATGCATGGACGAATGATAGATTTGTAAATGTGTAAGATAGGCTCTGATGAGAATGAATTTTCTAGCATGACACATTCTCAACTTTCCTTGCAGTAGATGCAGCTATTGATTCAATGTTGTCATTCCATCTCAAGTCAGTTGAAAACATGAGGCCAAGAAGGTGGAGTGTGCTGCTCTCCAGGAGTCTAGCATCAGCCATGCTGATGGCAGTCAGAAAAGTTTCTTTAATCTCTCATGGATCTGCAAATATATAATATATATTTTTAATATATATCTATGATTGTCATATTTTCTTGGTAAAGATAATGGAGTGGTTTCCCACTGTCTTCTCTATGGTTCTGGATTCAATTTTCCTTCTCTTAGACTGCTTGTCACCCAAGACTTGAGGACTCTGTCTACCCTGCTATTTAACTCATAGATGGAAGAAGTGATGGATTCAATCCATTTCCAAGAGCATTTTTATAAAAGTGAACAGTAGATGAGGCCAGAATTTGAACTCTGCTTGCTGATTCCACTTTTCGCACCAATAATCATTATGCAACTTGCACATCTACTATGTATACCAAATTCAAATGTATTTTGTGCTGAATTACAACTCTGATTATATCTTTTTTCTTTTGCCACCCTCAAGGGTTACTAAATATATAATCACTACAGTGAATGAAAGTTTTGATTTATAAAAAAAAATCTTACTTATGGTAACTTACCCAGTTATATAGACTTGATAAAGCTTAACCACCATGCCATGGCACACTAGTGTGCTGTGAAGTATTGTTACGAAATTCCAAAAAAAACATCAGACACAGGTTTGGCACTAAATACACTGCATAAATAGTTGAGTAGAAACATTGAAATAAAGTAAGTTCATATTTGTGTGTGTGTGTATTTTTTTTAAATCTATGGTTTTATTTTATAACATTTAAATGTATACCCATTAAAAATTTTGCTAAGTGTGCCATGATATTTTCATTTGTTCCTAACTGTACTGTTATTTAAAAAGGTTGAGAAACTCTAAGCTAGACACGTAATTCTTCCTACCAAAACCATAATGACTGTAAGTGAACTTTATATAAAATATAACCTAATACCAAATTTGCTAAAAAGTACAAGAGATTTAATTTATACAAAATAAAATAGTAACAACCAAAAACCTGAAGCAAGTATTTACAGTATCTCTTCTCTATTTATGTGCCATGTCCCTTCGGGACATAGACGATCATGGCCCTCCACATCTTCCTACCTCTTGTAGCTCTTAAGAAGTGTTGTCTTGTTATTTCTCTCAAACCCCTTTCTACCATCCATTTACTCAAGCTCATCAAGTATGTTACATGTTGCTTTCCTCTGTCCCTCTTTCCCTCAATCTGTCCTGTGAGTATCAAATTTTCCAACCTCTCCTTCCTCATTATGTACCTAAGAAATTTCAGCTGCCTCTTCCCGATATATATATATGTTTCCTTTTTGTATCCATTTTCTCTAAAACTTCGTTGTTGCTCACATGTTCGGTCCATGATATTCTCAGGATCTTTCTGTAGAACCACATTTCTGTTGCTTTAATAGACTATAAAACATGTCACAAATATATCCATGAAATGTCTACAAATTTAAATAAAAGGATATGTGAACATTTATGAAACAGACTGTACATTAGTCAGGCATTATAATAAGTCTGACTATAATTTTGACTTAAAGTTGCAGTCTTAATTAAAAGAGAATGTAATTTAAGATGAAAATGCCAAAAGTGCACTAATTTTTTTAAAGTTTTTTCATGGTAAATTTACATCAATGTTCATACAGCATATCACCTTTCTTAAAATTACTCTTAATACAATGTGTGATATTTAAAAACAACTGATTAAAACTAAGTGGTAGAAAGCTGAATGCATCCTGGGTAAGATGATAACTACATCCAACTGCAAAGTCTCTGATCAGGAGGTTTTGAGGAGCATGGAACCACCTCTTAATTGCTGGAGTTCCCAGGTCCACCCTGACCCGGGGTGGTAGCACCTATTAGGGTCCCAGCTATGGGCAAATAGTTAACCCACCAAACTGGGGTCAAAGCACTATGAAAGTGTAAAAATAGGTTTTAATACCAGAAATACTTTGTAAAAAGAAATTTATTACCAGCAATACATTTTTGAAAAAAAAAAAAAATTAGCAGCAATAAAATTTTTGTTGGCATTAAATAACCCATTGAGGTTGATATACCGTAAAACAAACCAAACCTAAACCAGAAAGCTGAATGAGGTCAGCTAAATTGTGCATCTTGTTGCATCGGGTACCAAGAATTTAAGACTTAAATTTAAAGCTAAGCATCCCTGCATCTTCTTTTCTCTCAATGTATAATTATAATCAATGTTTGTTATTTTGTTCCCTCTCCCTACATATATATATGATTCCATCAATAAAAAATCTAGTCTGAAATCCTTCAGAAGGATGAAACCTGTAAATTTTTTTTTCCATTTTGTCATTCAATTACCAAATATCAGCTAGTATTAATAATGTATTTTCTAAGTTTAACTTAATGTAGCACTGAGTGACAAAAGTAGAATATTCTATTAAAATTGAACTGCAATTACAATATTCTGTGAGCAATTGTTAGTAACCTAGTTGCACAGACCATTTATTAATGTAGTAAGTTCAACCTTCATAAGTTAAACTTAGTAAAATTTTGTGATATGTATATAGTACATTCTAACCTTTTTATTAAATTATAAGACATTTACAAGAAATATCTTTTTGTATTAATGCAGGAGTACCTCAGGGCTCTATCCTTGGACCTATTTTGTTCCTTATTTTATCAATGACCTTCCTGATGGCATTAGTTCTCAACTCGATATCTATGCTGATGACACAACTATTTACTCTCCTTTTCAATAGTAAGTCTGATCAGTTCGATAAGGTCAAATTGGCAGCTGATCTCAAAACTTAACCTACAATCGGCTGTTAACTGGGGCAAAGAATGACTTGTTAATTTGAACATCTCCAAAATGAAACTTCTCTCTGTTAATCTTCTGAGAAACACCTTTTAATGCTAACCTCTAGGAGAGTGACGTTGCACTTTCTCAGGTTAACATTCTCTGCTGACATGAAGTAGAAAGATTATATTGAATCAATTGCTAAGTCTGATGCTAAGAAAATTAGTTCATTGTTTTCTTTCCAGAATCTATCTTGCATATCTATAAGTCTACCATTCATCAATGCTTTGAATATTGGTGTCACATATAGTCCAGTGTTCCTGCTGTATATTTAGAGATTCTTGATAAAATTCAAAGAATCCACAATGTTATTTGTCCTGATGTCTCGGTTTCAGTCACTTTTCCACTGCCATAATGTAGCTTCCCTGTTCCTTTTCTATAAATGCTTTCATGATAATTATTCTGATGAACTTTCCACTATTATACCTCCTAGACTTTATGAATTTAAGCACAGTAATAGATTGGCAGCAAGGTCTCACCAATTTAGAGTTGAATTGGCTAGATGTAACCATAAGTTCTATGCTAACAGTTTCTTCTCTTGTACTTGTGACTTCTGGAACTCTCTTCTGGCTCCATGTTTTCCAGTCAGCTTTGATTTTCAAAAATTTAAATGCATTGTTAATCATTATCTATTGTCTTTTTGATTCCTCTTTTATTGTTCTCACTCCTTAATACTTTTTTTTTTTTTTCCTTATTCTTTCAGTCTCAGTAACCCCTTGTATCTCAGTGACTTTACTGCCTTGCTTGGAATGAAATGATTAAAACAATTAACTATGAGCTGATATTTTTTTTTTTTTTTTTTTTTTCAGCCATGGCTGATCAAAGTGATGCCACTGATGAGGACCCTTATGCTCAAGGGATGTCCTTTTTCAGCACGCAACACTCAGATGCTCTCCGTGCCAATGTGGAATCCTTCCGTGTCAATGGCAATTACACTGATGTCACAATTCTGATTGAGGACAAGAAATTCTCCTGCCACCGGGCCATTTTAGCTGCTGGCTCTTACTACTTTAAGTCCATGTTTTCATCAGGAATGGAGGAGACTCACAAAAGTTCATTCACCATCAAGCAGATTGACCCATTGGTGTTTGGGCATGTCCTTCATTTTATATACACTGGCAGCATCACCATCACATCTGGCATAGTGTTTGAACTCTTCTCCCAGTCTCACATGTTTCAGATTTCAACCCTTGTGGAGCTCTGTGTACAGTTCTTCAAGGAGAAGATCAATGATTCAAATTGTTTGTGTGCTTTGTCCCTTGCTGATGCCCATGCTCACACAGACCTGTATGAATTCACCAAGCAGTATGCTTGTGAACACTTCACTTCCCTTGTGAACGATGAAGACTTTATAAGACTTTCAGGTGAATGTGTTGTAGACTTGTTGAAGGACAGACGTCTCAATTGTACAGCAGAGAGTCAGGTAGGTTGGCTTTGTTTCCACTGTCATGTTTTGAGAGTGCTACAGATTGAAGATTAGATCCTATAAGAAAAAATATTCAATATCAGATTTACAGTGAAGAAACAAATTATCCATGTGGTAAAATTAAGTTAAAATAATTCATTTTTCAAATATTGAAACAGGTTTTTTTTTTGTTCAGACTGTTGTCCTCATCTTTGTCATATTCACAGTTTGACCATTGTAAACACTGGCCTTCTTCAGGTGATATACATTGGAATTTTGAACCAAATCCTTTATTTAGTCTATGAAGGTGGCCAAGTATTGAACTCCCAACTCTTTGGGCTAAGTGACTTTTGGATGTGAACAAAACCTGGGAGAGTTGAGTTACTAAAGGGAATTAACTGAAACTGAGATATCCAGAAAAGATGTGCAATTAGAACAATCTAGTGGACTAAATCAAGGGTTCAGTTCAAAATTTCAACATATATCACCTGAAGAAGGCCAAAGTGTACAATGGCCCGAAACATTGTGAATATGACAATAAAAATGAGGACAACTGTCCGAACAATGTAAATAGTGTAAATGATCTTAGGTGTAGAATAAATATCATATTTTGCTACTTATAAGATGCTCTGATGCATTAGATAGATGCCTTGTAAGTATGATTACTTAATCAAATGAAAATACCATGTGCTAACAAAAGTGTAGTATGCAGTTGTATTATTCTTAAAGTGTCTACCATAAATGATGCTGCTTTTATGATCCTTAGTTTAAGAAATAAGGAAGGAAGGTGTTACTTAAGTAGATGTTACTGTAGCAGAAATTTCCTGTTAATATCCCTGTATCCCAACTGCATAAATATCTTCTCTCAAAATGTTAATTTAATTTTGAAACACTGGACTTGATTTATTTTCAAGGGATCAAAATCAAATGTAACTGAGGAGCTGATGCTCACCCCAAACTTAAAACTCATATCACTAATCTTTGATTTATAGGAAGTAGGGTGGTTATTGGAGATATTTTATATGAAGAAAAAAAATGTATCTTATAAGAAGCCAAATACGATAATCTTAATCCATTTCAGAAACTTTTTATTCAAGACAATAACTTTATAAACATTAAAAAAAATTGGCAAGGAAAAAAATTATTCCTATGTTAGAAAATTAATTATTCATGGAATTAATATTTGTCATGTTATGACAAGGTAGTCTATGAAGCTGTATCTGTGTTGTACATTTTTAAAAGAACCCAAGTCCACTGTAATGAACATGAGCTTTGTTTACTTCAAGTTGGATATTAACAATAGGGGGAAGGTGAAAGATTTGTCTGGATTTATAACAACAGATTGAATTATTGCAATTTCAGAATGAGTTTTGAAGCAGCAGTTAAGCAGTTTTCACTAATGTCAACTGTACTGTATCACGAAAAAATATCAAGAGACAAAAAACATTGAAACACTAATTGGAAGGGGATGTAATCCTAAACACTCTTTAAGATGGTAAAGAATAATTATCTGTTAATGTAAAAATAACCTTAAAATTATACTGAAAAATAGTTTCTGATTTGTCAAACAATGAAGTCAATGTCTCTTCTACATTCAACATTATGCTCAATAAACATTTCAGTTGTTACTGTTCAAGAAAACTCCTTTTCTCTAAAGTCATCATTGCATATGGTTGCTTGGAAAACAATAGTGATTTTTAGAACTCAGTTTTATGGAATGATGAAATTAAAATTGAATTGTTTGGTTTGAATCAGGCACAGCAAGTGCTAAGGAAAAAAAAGGCAGGATCTCAGGAATGACATCAGTTGTATAAAACATAGGTGCAGTATTTTTATTCTTTGGGGATGTTTTAGTGGAAATGGAAGAAGCTGTTTGTTTAAAATCACCAGAACTTTGGAAGACAACATTTCACTTTCCATCATGATAATTATCTGAAACACATGCACTGGTGAAAAATTGGCTCAGACAAGGTTGACATCATACCTTGGCCTGCCAAAAGCTTGGATTTGGTATAAAAATTTTTTTATCTACCTACCAAATCTAAATTCTTGTGTCAAACACAAAAATCTAGTTAGTAGGAATAGAAAATTGTAAGGCACAATTAACAAACAAGACTCAACCACTGCCTAAAATTTTAATGGACAAACATTTATTACAGTATACAGAAAAGGGAAAAATACAAAAATTTTACATATAAGACTTGCACAAAAATTTCCTTTTATGCACCTTAAAAATAATTAAGGCATGATAACATTTACAAATATATTGTTTAAAAGAAAAAGGATAACCATTGAAAAGGAAAAAATGGTTTACAATTTAGAAAAAGACAAAAAGAAAGCACATTCAAGAAGGCAGTAAAACAAAAGTGCAACCACCTCTTAGAAAAAAATTTAAAAAACTTAACCCACAAGCATCTCTGGGATATATAACAATTTTGGAAATGTCTTTTTTATGCTTGGGAAAATTTCTTTGAAATCTTTTACTGTTGTCCAACTGCAGGAGAATTTTCACTTGAACTTCAGAATTCTTTTGGGCTCTCTACAGCTGGCTTGTAACTGTTTGCCTTCATGTTGCTCTCCTCCTTGATATCAAATGCTTTTTAACTGCTCTTTTCTTGATGTCAAAAACCTTCTGCTGCTCCTTTCTTGATCCAATTTTTATTTATTCTAAAACAGAAGCTCACAGAAGGCCCCCATTTGTGTTATTACTAGGGCTTCAGACTGTTTCTCACTGGCCAAAAAAATGAAAAAATAATTTTCCATAAACTCGAAATGGATCTTTAACAATGTTGGAAGTTTTTAATTGCTGAGTCTAAAAAGATATACATATGTAACAATTTTTTTTACACAAACCTTTTTGCCTTAAAAATACACTTCTCTCAAAAGAACATGTACAAAACTTTTTAGACAATTAAACATTCATTGTTACACTAAAGATTAACAGTAATAAAAAGAAATACATTTTTTTTTATAATGGATGCAATAGAAAATTTGTGGCAGTAACTTTGGTACCATTCAAAACAATCTTAAAATTTAACAGAATTAGAGTGGTTTGCTGTGGAAGAATTGAACAATATGCCAAAAGAAATTTAGTAAATTATTAACAGAAAATGTTTACTTAGTTATTGACCTATTAGATGAAAAGAGTGAATAATTTTATTCTTGCTATATCCATAATGTTACTGTATTAAATAAAGTTTCTGAAATGGAAGATCATATTCTAATTTTTACATATAAAAAAATATCTATTTAAATGAATTGTATTGATCAATTTGCAATTTACTGCAGACATTTGTAAATTTTTTATATAATTTTTTTTTTTTCCTTTGATGAATTTAATCTTGAAATTACTGATCAGTCACTTCTAACAAATTGGTTCCTGTCATAGCATAAGAGTAAGCAAGTACAATTTACAGAACTTATGACTTGTTCTTAAATTTGCATTTCATTGACATTTGCTATTATGTCGTTCTAATGAAGTCTAGGTACCCAAGAGGAAAGTTAATTATGAAAATATTTATAGAAAAAGCATGCAAGCGCTACATTACTATAGTGGGAAAATGACTGAAGCTGAGACACCAGGTCAGGATCAATAAAATTGCAGATTCTTTGTATTTTATCTAGAATCTCTAAATACTTAACAGAAGCCCCTTCTAGATGTGGCAGCAACATTTAATGCATGGACGAATGGTAGACTTATAACTGTGTCAGATTCTAGTGAGAAAATTTGTCTAGCATGACACAACCAACTTTCCTAGCAGCAGATCTAGCAATTTTGTTTCTCTTATTGCAATAATTCCTAAAAGACCATTAATAAAAAAATTATTTCTGGTTTTATAAATGTTCAGCAGGAAATTTTGTAGGACTGCAATTGTGTCAATTTGTACTGGATCTATAGGAAAATTAGTGCCTCCTCTTATGAGTCATGACAGATTAACAAAGGATGAGACCAATGAACAATTTAAAAAGTAATACATTATACAACAAGAATGAGAAGAGAGAATTTCTAAATATATTCTTTAGCAGTTAATGCTATAGCATCAGGGATGAAGTCCAAATACGTGAAATTGATTGAAACACTTATCTGAAATTGATCATATCTCTTCTAATGGCTGTTTGTCTATGCATTATTATGGTTTGCTAGTGGTCAGCATCACCTGTTCTTCAGAGTAGGCTAAAACATGTCTATCCACCTCGGTCTTGAAGCCTAAATTTGTGTCTTACCCATTATTATCAGATAAATGGACTCTTCTTTCTATCAGGGGGGGGTCGTATCAACCAAGGGGAGATAACCTATATTCTTCATAAGCCAATCTTCAGTGTCAAGTTGTTTCAAGTGAATGTCTGGAATTTTTTATTTTATATCTTTGACATGTCATATTTATCAATGGATATTAAATAGTTACATCCCAAATGCTACGGTTAAGATCATATTGCAGGCTATTAGTGTAGTGGGGATCATCCATATCTGCCAGATCAGTTTGAGTGAAATATCAAACAACATCAATTTGTTAGACCCACTTAATTAGTGAGATAATTGCATCTTTCTTCTCATTGTTCTAGGGTAATGAATGCGGATTTTTGAGGTTGAATGTCTTGTAACATAATGTTTCTTATCTCACTATTTGACATTGTACCAAACTAAAGTATGTTAAACATCTACCAAAGCAGGTTTCATTCTGTTAATTTACTTTTCTTTTAATTGCAGGTGTTTGAAGCAGCTGTAAGGTGGCTGGAAAATGACATTGAACACAGAAAATCCTATCGTTATCAAATGATGACTTGTATCAAATTCCCTCTGATTCGCCAAAGTTACCTGTTGGATGTTGTCATCAAATCACCTCATGTGGCATGTGAAAAAGGACAAGAAATGATCGAGGAGGCTCTTTCTTTCCACACAGTGCCTTCCCGGCGCAACCTACTGCATGCCTATCAAATCACACCTCGCTATTCTTTTCCATATACAGAAGCTGCCGTTCTCCTGGGGGGTCGTGTGGCAGATGGTCTCAGCAGTGATGTTGAGTATTATCGGCCAGACACTAGGGAATTTGTATCTTTGAAGCCACTGCCATTTAAGAAACGAAATGAGTATGCTGCCTGTGTCATTGGTAATGAAATCTACGTGTCTGGTGGCTTAAGGAGTCCGGAGCTATGGAAATATGATTTAGCATTCCAGTCTTGGATACGTGGCACGAATATGTTGCAGGCTCGAAGACGCCATGCCATGGCCGTTGTTGACAGCAATATTTATGTTTTGGGAGGCTTTGATGAGGATACAGTTCTGAGTTCAGTTGAAATGTGGGACAGTTCTTCAAACAACTGGACAGAAGTCGGCAAGCTGCAGTATGCAGTTGAGAATATGGGCTATGTTGCTTATGGCAAGCATATTTATTTATTTGGGGGCAAGAACAATGATGAGGTTGTCACTAACACAGTGCAGTGTTTTGATACCACTACCAACACTTGCAGCATCTTGAAGAACGGACTTCCGGCAAATGACATGTGTCTGAGTGCAGTCATCTTAAATTCACAGATTTATGTGGTAGGGCTGGAAGGTGTATTTCGTTACACACCATTAACAGAGACCTGGGACATTCTTCCTGAAATGAGGTGTGCCCGTGATTTTGTCAGCTTGGCTGTGCTTGATGAGAAGATATACCTGTTTGGCGGCCGATGTCGAGGATCGAAAGAGAACCTTTATTCAGATCTGATAGAAATGTACAATGCTAAAGATAACACATGGGAAGTGGTAGGCAAAATTCCTGTGCCAATGTACTCATATGGTTGTGTTAAAATCTTCCTCAGTCAATCAAACCAGTAATAAAGGCAACGGAATCACAACAGAATGACTGTTTCTATTGTATATTTGTTTCCATTTACAAAATACATGCATACAACTTAAAGAGAAAAAAAAAAAAGAATTGAAGTCAGTATACAGTTGAAAAGACATGTACAGAATAAAGTTATCTTGGCTGTGGACTGATGGAGAGAAACACAAAACTGAATTGATATTGCTTTCAGAATTGTCTCAAGGTCATGTAAGAATTGATTTGATGTAAAAGAAAACTATATATAAACCTCTATTGATTTTATGATTAAAAGTTTAAAAACTCTGGCTTAAATGGACAAAGAATTTTTTTAAATCCTTTGAAATGTGCTCCTGTTAGCAAAAAAAATTTAATTTTCATTTTCGTCAAATGTAATTCTGTGTATTAAAATTTCTTTGTCTTCAGAGCTTGTTAGGTTGACCCTATCTCCATCTCTTTACCCTCAACAGTCCATATTTTTGGCTACTGCATTTCCCAGTTTCTTCTGACTTTTTTCTGCCCATATTTTTTTAAACTTTTATTAATCAAGAAATATTTCATTTGAAATAAATATAATATATATATATATATATATTTATTTCTGTACTTCTTGTCCCCCAATTTAAATTTATTGAATATAGCAAACAAATGTCTGTTTGGATACTGAATATTCTGTCTAGTAATAAATTAAATAATTATCAGCTGAGTGTAATCAATCTTGACTTAGACTTTGAATAGGTCAAGAATTTTTAGGCTAAATTGTCTTTGTTTTAACAAACAATTTCAGTTAACTTAAGTGAAAAGTTACATAATTGCTAAACAGAAACAAGATCACTTACACTCTGAATTATAAATTGTAAGCCAATTTTTCTCTCTCTCATGTATATCAAAATTAAGCAAAATCTTATACTCTTCTCATTTAAAAAAAAAAACAAAAACACCATTAGATTTAGTGAATCCCTGCAAATGTTTCTAGTTAGGCATCTGCATAGATTTATAAAAGATTTTCATTTAACTTGCAACCTTAAAATTTTAATTTTTTTTTATATTCTTTATTCAGTGTCATGTTCTTATTAATTTGCATTTTCTCATTTTTTAGGAGCATTAGGGATCACATTTAGCTTTGTCTCACATCTTCAAAGCAGTTGAAACTTTCAACAACTGTGAAAGGCTTTTACATGACTTATATATATATATATATATATATATATAATTATTTAATAAAAACAAGAAAAACATTCATGATCACTTAGAAAATAGATTTCATTGATATTTTCAATGTTATTTTCGAAATATCTACAACAAAAAAAAAGTTAATCTCATGTTTACTATTCTTGTTCTTAAGATTATTGAAAAGCCATCATTGTGGCTCATCAGTTAAATGGCAGATAATTCATTAATAAACAAAATTTAGCCCTCTGTATAGTTAGCATTTGAATAAAACTAAAATTATTTAACACAGTTGAAAGCTTTGTTTAGCTTTGGATATATGAAACAAAAGAAATTGGATTTTTTTTTTATTTTACTCCACAATAAGCCTCTTAACATGATTTAATATACATATAAATATTTTTTACAAAATTTGCCATTAAATTTAAATGCTTTCTAATTTATTTTTATAATTTAGTCTGAATTTTTGCTAAAACAAATTTGCTGCAAGTGTTTTGAAAGGGAAAATTATTGCATGTGGTCATTGCTTTAGGGAGAAGATGGTTAAGAAGAGAGAAAGCCAAATTTTTCATTTCCTGAACATTCTTGACAAGTCATCTTAAACCAAATGATGTGCTTTATAGAAAAAATTCATGTCATTTCCTCACCAAATGGAGGGATGGTCATCAGCACCTGGTGCCAACAATGCCCTACCCTACCCCACCCTCTGGATAATTTTCCGGCCATTTTATTGTCTTGAAACTAATGCAGTGCATAACTTGCCACATGCACATGTCTGTCTAATAATTATATAAAATTAGATAATTTAAATTGTGTTGTCCAGTTTCAGTTTGAAAGCTTTTTGTCAATAATTCTAGCATGAAGCATGTCATCTTAATAGAACTAGTTACTTACTAAAACATACTCAGTAGTAACTTAGATAAAGTCACGTTCATGACAGCTTATAGATCCTCAAAGATATCTTCAATGAGGGCTTCCCTCTTTCATTTGAATCTATGTTCTATTTAAAATGTCCAAAGTGTTTTGTGCTGATAGCTTGTAGATTTGTTCTCTATTAGTGACTTAATTAGTTATAGTGTGTACAATTCTGTGATATTGGTACTCATTCCATTCCTTTCCCTTGTCTACGGCAAAATGACTATAATCTCCTGCCATCTCCATATTCATCCTGCCAAAGAAAAAAATGGTTGAAAAAAAAAAAAAAACATTACTCTGCTTTCTTTCTCTTGCTCACAGCCTGATTCCCTCCCTGACACCCTCACCTACCCCATCCCAGCATCTGCACAATAAATTGGCAAAGCATCATAAATGTGAATTGCAATCATAAAAAACGTTAAAAAAAATAAATAAAATAAAACTTGTTCCAAAAATTGTGGCATAATATCTATAACCACTTACCCACCAAACTTTATACCCCTTGATAAGTAAATATAAATGGTTTTCATAGCTCACTTAGTGTGGTTAGAAAAGCTATTATTTTAAAATGTAAAACTATACTTTTTCGGTTATTTCATTCTTTAGAGTTTTTTTGTTTTTTTTGTATAAATCTTTTTTTCTTGTAATTTCGTAAAATCTGGGTCCTCACCATTGAAATACAGAATTCACTATTCCAAATCATATCCTAATTTCCTTCCCATTATTTTTGCTTCTCCCTTGCATTTGTTTTGAGTTCAATCCTTGTGATCAAATACTTTGCCACTGTGGCTTAAAATCTTTCACTTGGGCCTTTCTCCTGCCCCCACTAATAGAGCTGTTATTAATTAAATATTTCTATTACCACTAGTATTACTTCATCATTACTATAATTGGAATCTAGTCCATTATATTATACTGGTTGATAAATATTCAAGACAATGCTATAATATCATGACCTTTACTTTGTATTAGTTATCAATTTTTAGTTATTATTGCCAAATGTAACCTACCATATTAAAAATGGTGTCAAAAAACTGATCAAATTTGAGTTTCAAATTTAATAAAGAGGTCATTTTCATTACATAGTTTTTTTTAAATTTTTAAAAAATTTTTTTTGAAGAGTAATAACTATTCAGCTTTTTGAATCATCACCTTATATTGAACATGGTGACTTTTTTATTCTCTCCCTTACTTAAGAAAAAAGGTAATTGCTTTAAATTGTTTTAAATGCTTCCAACATCAACATCCAAATGGTATTTTTTGTACTTCTCTTTGCATCCAAAACAAAGCATTCATTTGAAGAGGAAAATGAAATTTTTCATCTTCATTTCATTTTTTTTTTTCTTTACAGGTTTTTATTTAATCTATAACAAAGCTACATGTAATGCCTGTTTTGACAATTTTTGTTGAAATGTTTAAAGAAAAAATAAATTTCTCTTATATAATCTGTGATTTGTTTATTTTTTTTTCTCTCACTTGGAATTAGTATTTTTTCTCCCGCGAAAATGATTTAGCTTAAAGGGAAACAACTCTTACTGAATCCCCATGTACGTATACAGAGTTTTTCTCCCAATGTATTTCTTAGAGTTGTCATTCTTTATATTACACCAGAATATTTGAAATGGAGAAAAAAGAAATTGTTCACTCCACTTTATTAAAATTTCTTTTTATCTTTAAATTAATTTATTACTTATACAAACCGGATCTATGAAAATTTCACTGGTATTGACAACTCTCCACTTTTTTCTCACCTTTTACTTGTATCTTGCATTCTCTTTCATATCCCTTCCAGTCTTTCATTGCCCATCCATGTTTTTATCCATATGTTTACAAATAGCAATTAGTTTCCTATCCAAATGAGGAATGCATATATTTTCTACTGCCTTTTCTCTTTAATCTTTTTTCTCTCTCTCTCTCAAAGAATCTTAATGTATCACGATTTTCATATATTTCCATCCCCCATGTGTCTTTCAATCTTTCATTCTCTCAATACCCAGCAGGCCTATCTATCTATCTATCTCATGTTGAAAATAACATATACATTTGTGGAAATAAATGTGTTGTATAAAAAATACCTTTACTTTTTTATTTACCATCATACATTTTGATAGCAAGTTACCTTACTTACCATGAATCTATTAATGATTATGTTGGGATAGAAAAAAATCCATTTAATGACAAATATTTGGCTAGATCTTATCCCATTAATTTCTTTCATCAGTTGTATTCGTGGACAATTTATGATGTGAACTTTTTTCCCTCCAGACCTAGGTACAAGGCTAAATGTTAGTGAGAGATAGACTCTTTAGGCTAATTTTTCAAGTGTTTTAAAAAAAAAAAAATTGCTTTCTACATGAAAATTTCTGGCTGTTCTAATGATCATTTGCACCTGTGAGAATACTCATCTGCCTCACAATTGCTCATGGCCTTAATAACCATGCATTTATTTGCATCTTTATCTAATTGATTTCTTTTGAACAGCTAAGAAAATGCTACATAATTTCAGTGGATTCACTCAGCTGAATCAGTGAACCAAATAAACCAGGTGTTCAGAAATTTTGAGACTGAACATTGAAAATGTGTCTGTATTATGATTTCAAAGGGATCCTCAGTTTTCTCAAACTGATACACTAAATCAACTATATTGAAGAAGAAAGTAATGACTATAACAGCATGACAAATTTGACACATTGGTCAAACCTTAAATTGAATAAGTTGATCAAAATTTTTTTTTTTTTCAGTCAAGAAAACCAGCTCAGCCATAAGAGCACTCACTGTCCTAAGTTATTTAATTGTATTCAGTAAAGTTTCTGAACTTGGAAAACAAGTGCCACATTCACTAACAAATGACAACTGAATTTATTGTTTGTATGTCTAGGTCTGGTTTATCTGAAATATACAAATGCACAGCAAGATATTACCAAGGATTTTAAAGTACATGATTTTATGTTTACTTCAAAGCAGAAAAGAACTCACATTTGAGTGGGTGACAAGCAATCAGGAGATATAGGAAACAAACAACATAGAAAAGATGTGAAATTTTCATTTTCATAAACAAACATCGGAACGATTTTTTTTAACCCATTAACTGCCAAATATTTTTAATGCACATTTTTGGCCCAGACAGGTGCCTTAGGAGTTTATTTATTCCTGATGTTTAATTTCAGTAGTTACTATTGTTATTTTTATAGAAACTAGAACATCAAATATATATGTGTATAAAATATCAAAAATTGATATTGATTAGAAACAATAAAAAAATACTTTTCAAAATAGTCATTATTTTTCTACTCGTGAAATGTAAAACTATGACAGAAAGTGTCTTACGGCTAATAATAAAAACTTTAAAGGCTAAGTGTTGTAAAATATGCCTCTGCAAATACCTGGCACATGTCAGAGTGTATCCCCCAGATGAGGCTCTGCT